ATAATTTTAAGATTGTTCTATACATCAGTTGGGGTCTCCATAAGCTTCAATATGAGGTCCTAAACCGAGCATGAAAGGGCATCCTTGTAGCTGTGTGGGTAAATAAATAAAAATATTTGCCTTGGGATAATTTGAGATAATATCCATGGGGTAAGTTGTGCCAATGGTTGAGCCAATGGCAAGTTGAGCAAATTGAAGTGTTTTCTTCCAAGGTGTAATGCAAGGCGTTATCACTGGGATATGAGGTAACAACAGGGCCTGGCATATGTAAAAAATAATTTAAAATATACAACGGGTGGGTCTAGTCCTGAATGCTGATTGGTTAAAACCGCATTCCATCCGGTGTCTATTCCATAAGTTACCACCGGCTAAATCTATGACGTTAAAATGCCTATTTACTCTGTTTCCATCTGATTGCGCAATCCACTGTCTCATCAGCCCAGCCAGGCAATTTATAAACTTGATCTCCACTATAAAAAACATCTAGATATTATCTCACATTTCTTTTAGACTAACATTTAGTTTTCAACAGCGGATATTTGTATAAACCTTGCTGTCTGTCACTCCGACATTTGCAACATTGTTTCAATATTGAAATTCGATCTCCAGCTGTCCCATAGTAATGAGCGGGTCGAGACAGACAGGCAGGCAGCTTTTCTCAGCCAGTCGAAATCATGAATCAGCTGGCATCATTTTTATGGATATATACAAAGACATTTAAATTGAAAAAATGTCAAACAAAACGAACAAAACATCCTGAAATATATATAGATGTCTTTTTTTTTTTTTTATACTATATTTCCCTTGACGGTGTGATGCTGAACGTAAAAAAATTGCTCAACTTACCTCACTCTCCCCTAGGCTAAAGTCATACATCAGGGTAGTTGATGGCACTGCAATCCCAGAGCGCTGTTCTTGTTTTGCATAGTGGCAGCGAGGCTGTAACGCAGCGTTGGACATAAACAGCATGCTCATCTATTTATATAAAAAGGGTAAAATATGAGTTTGGAATCATTTTCACCAGGTGAATCACTCTGCATATTTTGTTTATTTATCAATCACTTAAGGCCTAGTTGGTAAAGGATATCGATCTGCAGTGGTTCTCAAACCTCTCCCTTGGGAACTCTCAGACGTTTCACAATTATGTTGTAGCCCTAAACAAGCTCAACCGATTCACCTATTCAAAGGGTTTGAGGATTAGGTGACCAGTTGAATCGGGTGTGCTAGCTCTGGAATAGATCAAATACATGGAAGGGCTGGGGGTCCTTAGGAGAGTGAGAGCAAAAAAAGATGGCGGAAGCGTACGTTGATGTGGAGCGTGAATACAATGGCGGTGGAATCAAGGATAGTTGGAATATTGTCCCAAATAATAAAAAAACTGAGCAAAGTAGCATACAGTGATGAGAACGTCCCTTCTTATCTTGTAGGAGTACGTTTTCTTTAATGAGGAGCAGCCGATTGGATTACCAATTTTGAAGAATCCATTTGATATATCCAAACTGGTGGAGAGAGTGCTGGGTAAAGTGAGTGTCACGAGAGGCGGGCTTGTTTAGATTTTTTGTTCTTCTGAGGATCAGAAGGAGCGTGTGTTGCGTCTCACCAGATTTGAGATGTTTGATGTGTCCTGTGTGTCTCTTCAGAACAGGGCATCCCTCAAGGGGGGTAATATCTGGCGTTGAGACGCAACACACGCTCCTTCTGTCGGTGTTGCAGAGATGGAAAATATTCCTGGAGTGTGTCACGATTGTCGAAAGGAGTAGACCAAGGCGCAGCGTGATATGCGTACATCTGCTTTAATAGTGTACTTTTCCAACACGATACAATAACAAAAACAATACGTGAAGTCCTCGGTTAACAAAACACAAACCTACACGGAACAAGATCCCACAATACACTGTGGCAAACAGGCTGCCTAAGTATGGTTCCCAATCAGAGACAACAAGCAACAGCTGATTCTCGTTGCCTCTGATTGAGAACCACCCCGGCCAACACAGAAACACATGAACTAGATAATGAACATAGAAACACAAAACACAGACTCTACACACCCTGGCTCAACATAACAGAGTCCCCAGAGCCAGGGCGTGACAGAGTAATTGATGCTCATCGGATGAATCGTGTGGTGAATGAAGAAAAAGTGAAGAGTCTTATCTGTTCTTTAGTCTTTTGATATGGAGTCTCTCCCTACTCAAGTGCAGTTAGGTTATATTAACTACAGAGTCAGAGCATTTATCCCAAGACCAATGCAGTGTGATCATTGTAAAGCTTTTGGTCATGTTTCAAGTGTTTGCAGAAGGGAGAAGCCGAGATGTCCAAGTTGTGGAAAAGATCATATCATGTGTTATTAAAGTGATGAAAATGTGACATGTTGTAATTGTGGTGGGAATCGTGAAGCCACGTCTTTCGAATGCCCCACAAGGGTGAAAGAGAACGAGGTGGCCAAAGTCAGGGCTATCCAGAGCATATCATATGCAGCAGCTGTTAAAAGGGTTGAGGGTTTGAATGGTGCTCCTGAAGAGTCCATGGTGGTGGATAGGCCTTCACTGCAGGCTGCAGGGGTTGCCTTTCAACAGCAGGACCCAGATATGTTAAAGGTTAAGTAGGTGAACTTTGTGGCCTTTATAGCTATGGTGATTAATGGCACTGCCAAGGTGGAGATGAAGTCCAGGAAAATAGATATTGTGGATGCGGTGGAACGGTTCCTGGGACTGAAAGATGTCTCGGCAGAGGAGTTGCATAGAGAATTGTCACAAGCCGTACCACCCTCTCAGATCATACAGCCTGAGAAGGGAGATATGGAGATTTGAAAGAAGGAAGAAGTGGGAGTTTGGGGGTTTTGGTTTTGTCAATGTGTTTTTTTTATTGTTTTATTTTGGGTGGATTAAGTTAGTTTTCCCTGTCACAAATGGGTTTTATTTTTACCTTGGTTTTTTTCAAACCTGTCCAGTTGGTGGCGGTATTACACCTATTGGGGTTGTAGTCTGCCATAAAACCCACTGAAGAAGAAGAAGGGTCCTGAGGGTACGACTAGAAACTAATGAGACTGATTGTTTGACCACAAGGGAGAGTTGTTTGATATTGTTGAAACTTGTTTCGCTATTGCAGAAATGTGGTAAGAGGTTAATGGGAAATGAAAGGCGGGTAGTGCGGACGAAATGGAGGAAATTGAGAAAAAAAAGTTGGTGAAGCAACAGCTGTGCTGGAATGCCAACAATATGGCTGTCAGTTCTGATGGTATGGAGCGGGAGGATGAGGGTCAAGGACCGGAATGGTCGGTAGTGGAAAGACACAGGAATGTACCTGGTGCGTATGCTAGGTTAAGGGGAGTCATCACTGGGGTCCCAATATCTATGTCCACAGATTATTTTAAAGAAAATGTGAAGGGAAGCAGAGTGATTGAGGCCAAACGTTTGATCAGTAGGAAAGAGGGTCAAAGAAGTGAAAGCTTATCAGGTGATGCTGAGGTTTGAGAAAGTCTTGTCAGGAAAAGTAGAGATAGGATTCCTTAGTTTCAATGTTAGAGAATTTGTCCCATATGCACAGCGGTGTTTTAAATGCCAAAGAATGAGACATGTAGCTGCTCAGTGTAAAGGAAAGAAAATATGTGCCAAGTGCGGAGGCGCACATGATTACAGTGAATGTGGAACCAATGTGAAGGTTAAGTGCTGTAATTGTGGGGGAGAACACAGTGCAGCATTTGGTGGATGCCAGGTACAGAGAGAGGCTAGAGGGGCTGAGATATAGGATCAGTCATGACGTATGAAAACTTTCCATCTCTGGAAAGTTTATTTTCGGCAGGTGGCTTAGTGGTTAAGAGCGCTGTGCCAGTAACCGAAAGGTCGCCGGTTCTAATCCCCGAACCGACTAGGTGAAAAATCTGTCGATGTGCCCTTGAGCAAGGCACTTAACCCTAATTGCTCATGTAAGTCGCTCTGGATAAGAGCGTCTGCTAAATGACTAAAATGTAAATGGATCGTATGCAGAGGCTGTAAAACTGATTGGTAGAACTACAGTGCGGACTGATGGAGCTTACATGGACGTACCTGTAGTAAGTGGACCTGCTGTCAGGGCTGGTGCTTTTGATGGTCCTGGCATGGTTTCGGGGCCTGTTCAGAAATCTTGTGCTCATAAATGTGCGGTGTCAAAGGACACTTTGATAATGAATAAAGTTGACTTCATAGCTTTTATTGGTAAGGTTATCAAATACGACTTGGGTTGTGGAAAGCAGAAATGCCAGGTTGAAGGTTATTGTGGAGTTATTGTGGAGACGGCAAAAGAGATATTGGGGGTAACAGATGCTACTGTTGAAAAGGGTGGAGTGTTTCAGCATGATATAGATCAAGTTTAATGAGGTTGGGGGGGGGGTTCGGGGGAGGGGAGGGTGTGGTAGAAGTTAGGGATTTATTTGGTTTTGAATTTTATTTTCATGGTAGTACCAAATTGGGCAGATCATGATTGATCGTACATTCCACCACAGTAGGTGGCGGCATGCACTTAAACGATTGTTTGCAGACCGCCATGATATCATAGAAGAAGAACAAGAACAAGAAGAAGAAGAAGGGTCCTGAGGAGAGGTTAGAATACCACTCCTGTAAAGGGAGGTAGCTTACCAAGAGATAGTACGTTGTCGTATGTATATTGCTTTTGGGAGAGAAGCAACTGTTCTTATTTTGTAAATGTGTGTTCTTTATCCCCCCCTGCTTTCCATTACAGAAAAAACTGAAGGAATCGCCTTTGGTGTAATTTAGCCTTCGCTAGTTTCCGTAGGAATGCGCATCAGCTGACTGACTAGAGAAAAGTCAGAAAGCAGACAATCACAAACAAATGATTGCCAAATAAAACATTTATTAACTGCAGCTAACGCCATCATAACTATGGAATCGACTCTCGAGCAACATCTGGATGATACGTAAGTGATTATTTGATCGAAACTTATGTGATCGTACCAAATCGTTGAATTATGTGAAAACATTCCTCAAATGTTGTTTTGATATGATAGCATGAAGAATCCAGCCATTGTCGGAGTTCTCTGCACCGACCAACAAGGACATATTCTAGGCTGTAAGTCAAATTATCACATTTGTTGTTGCTGTCTTTTATTTATCTGATTATTTAGCAGGCAAACGTTTGTCTGACGAGTCGTCAAATCAATCACATTTATTTGATAAAGACCTGCATCAGCAGTTGTCATAGTGCTTACATACAGAGATACCCAGCCTAAAATCCCCAAAGAACAATCAATGCATACGCACAGTGGCTAGGAAAAACTCCCTATTAAGGCAGGAACATAGGAAGAAACCTAGAGGAACCAGGCTCTGAGGGGTGGCTAGTCCTCTTCTGGCTATGCCGGGTGGCGATTATAGAGTACATGGCTTTTAAGGCCAGATCGTTCTTCAAGATGTTGAAACGTTCATAGATGACCAGCAGGGTCAAATAATAATCACAGTGGTTATAGAGGGTGCAACAGATCAGCACCTCAGGAGTAAATGTCAGTCGGCTTCCAGGACAAGGTACTAGGTAGCACATCCGGTAAACTGGTCAGGGTTCCATAGCTGTCCATCATTCATCATTGGGGGAAATGCTGCTAGCTAGCTACACTGTTTTGCAGCCTATGTCTGGCAACTGCCTCTTCTAACGTTTGACACTTCAACAAAAGACTTAACTGAATGTTTGAAAACTATGAAAATATACCCTTGAAATGGCAGTAGTTACAAATATTAGACAACGCAATAAGTCAAATAATAGTAGCCTAGCTAGAGCCAAATCCTGTTATCTCTGGTAGGGCCTAGCTAATGTACCGGGCCCACTTTTGATACTAGTGAACGTATCACAAGATCAGCCTGCATTTTGACCTTCCATGTGACTTTGTCTCCCTTGTGTTTATTTCAGGTCGTGGCTCTCTGTCTGACGAGCATGGGGGAGTGGTGTCTGTACTGGTCAGACAGGCAGCCACTCTCACCAGAGACCCTACAGACAGCCCCACAGTGTGCCTGGAGGCAGACTCAGGGTGAGGAACCACATCCAGTCAATATTAGGGTGAGTTCGTTTTGCATCGCTTGGTGCCCCGGGTGGTTGGGTTTTTCACTTTAGGAACAATTGAATCGTTTAAAATGTGCAAACCCAGGGCACCCGGCGATGCAAAACGAACTCGCCCTCGGATCGTTATATGACCGGTTACTATTTACAAATAAAGTTTCTAGACCCTTTTTCTTTGGCAGAGGATCTGAAAGCATTGGGTAGATAATAGTGCAAAGTCTTCCCAGCCTATCAGAGGGCAAGGCCAAGCAGTTATCATGTTGCTCATACCTTTGCAAGTTTTTCCACATCTACATGACGGGCGCGAACAGGTAGGAGCTAGGGGTGGATTTAGAACTCGACTTGGAGCTTATCTGCAAAGTGCTTGTCTGGTTAAACTGAAATCAGTTTTACCTCATTTTTACCAGCATGTCACCTGTGCAACTAGAGGCAAACAAGACTCTAGATCCCCTTTACTCCACACACAGACGCATACAAAGCTCTCCCTCGCCCTCCATTTGGCAAATCTGACCATAACTCTATCCTCCTGATTCCTGCTCTCAAGCAAAAACTCAAACAGGAAGTACCAGTGAGGCGCTCAATACGGAAATGGTCCGATGAAGCGGATGCTAAGCTACATATTCCAACCAGAATCTATGGATTACAGGCAACATCCGCACTGAGCTAAAGGCTAGCGCTGCAGCTTTTAAGGAGCGGGACACTAATCCGGACTCTTATAGATGGGTTGGCTGACAACGTCACGAAAACGATGTGCGCGCTTCCATGGGGCAGAAGTTAGCCTGTTGTGATTCTGGATGGCCAGATTTCTAGCAAGAATGACATGAAACTGCTATGTGAGGAATCGTAAGTGGCTCGTTTCATCTTGTTATTGATGCCATGTCTTGTTTTGACTGATTTCATGTTAATGCTAATATAGCTAAAATTCGCTAGCTAGCTAGCCAACCAACAACTGTAACGATGTATTTGAGAGACAACAAGGTCATTGTACAAATTTATTTATGTTTTTAATAAACCTTGGAGACTAAATATAGCTTACATGTTGGTCAACAATCTAAACCAACCTCCTCTGTTTTGACGCATGTCGTGTTTTGTTGCTAAACAACCAACCACTATAAGAAATCCCGCTACGACCTCCGACGAACCTTCAAACAGGCAAAGCGTCAATACAGGACTAAGATCGAATCCTACTACGCCGGCTCTGATGCTTGGCAGACGTGGCGGGGCTTGCAAACTATCACGGATTACAAAAGGAAACCCAGCCACGAGCTGCCCAGTGATGCAAACCTACCAGAGGAGTTAAATGCCTTCTATGCTCACTTCGAGGCAAGCAACACTGAACCATGCATCAGAGCACCAGCTGTTCCGGACGACTGTGTAGCCGATGTGAGTAAGATCTTTAAACGGGACACGTACTCAGAGCATGCGCTGATCAGCTGGCAAGTGTCTTCACTGACCTTTTCAACCTCTCCCTGACCTTGTCTGTGATACCTACATGTTTCAAGTAGGGCTGAGAATTGCCAGGGACCTGACAATACGATATTATCAAGATACTTAGGTGCCATTATGATATGTTTTGAGCCCCGCAGTGGACGTGTCATAATACCCATAAAACCTAGCGGTCAAACAGGGAAATGTTTCCAAACTTTTCCACCATTCATTTTTCCCATAGGGGATTTTAGAAACACTTTAAAATAAGGGCTGTGTTTTGTGTAGGCTCACCCTGGTGTGACGTTTTGATAACCATGTAAATCTCTTTAGGTCAAGGTGACCTATATCAATATATTCAGCTATATTTACACTCGGATTCGAAAATGCTAATCAGCATCAAAGTAGACATCATGCAACACTACAAATCCCTGCAAGCTCCTGCATGTCATCTTTAGCTAACAGGTATTATGTAAATGTAAAACTTCCCCAAGACCGTTCACAGAATTGTCAATTTAAGGAAATGTTGCCAATTGATTCATTACTAAATTGAGTTAACACTAGATAGTTAATCCAGAGATTCTTATCTTTGACTCATCCAGATCATCATGGCATTTGTAGTTCAGTATACATCTGGCCCTTCATTGGACACTGTGTTAACAAACCTCCAAACGAGCTTCAATGCCATACAACAATCCTTCAGTAGCCTTCAACTGCTCTTAAACACTAGTAAAACTAAATGCATGCTTTTCAATCGAACGCTGCTAGCACCCGCCCACCCGACTAGAATCACCACTCTCGACGGGTCTGACCTAGAGTATGTGGACAACTACAAATATCTAGGTGTCTGGTTAGACTGTAAACTCAACTTCCAGACTCACATAAAGAATCTCCAATCCAAAGTTAAATCTAGAATCGGCTTCCTATTTCGCAACAAAGCCTCCTTCACTCATGCTGCCAAACATGCCCTCGTAAAACTGACTATCCTACCGATCCTTGACTTCGGCGATGTCATTTACAAAATAGCCTCCAACACTCTACTCAGCAAATTGGATGTAGTCTATCACAGTGCCATCCGTTTTGTCTCCAAAGCCCCATACACTACCCACCACTGTGACCTGTACGCTCTTGTTGGCTGGTCCTCACTACATGTTCGTCGTCAAACCCACTGGCTCCAGGCCATCTATAAATCACTGCTAGGCAAATCCCCGCCTTATCTTAGCTCATTGGTCACCATAGCAGCACCCACCCGCAGTCTGCGCTCCAGCAGGTATATCTCACTGGTCATTCCCAAAGCCAACACCTCCTTTGGCCGCCATTCCTTCCAGTTCTCTGCTGCCAATGACTGGAACGAATTGCAAAAATCTCTGAAGCTGGAGACTCTTATCTCCCCCAATAACTTTAAGCATCAGTTGTCAGAGCACCTTACCGATCACTGCACCTGTACACAGCCCATCTGAAATTAGCCCACCCAACTACCTCATCCCTATATTGTTATTTAATTTGCTCTTTTGCACCCCAGTATCTCTATTTGCACATAATCTCTTGCACATCTAGCATTCCAGTGTTAATACTATTGTAATTATTCTGCACTATAGCCTATTTATTGCCTTACCTCCATAACTTGCTACATTTGCACACACTGTATATATATTTTCTGTTGTATTTCTGACTTTATGTTTTTTTTTTACCCCATATGTAACTCTGTGTTGTTTTTATTGCACTACTTTGCTTTATCTTGGCCAGGTCGCAGTTGTAAAGAGAACCTGTTCTCAACTGGCTTACCTGGTTAAATAAAGGTGAAAAAAAAAAAAAAAAAGTATGATAGCCACATTAGCAGCTAATTAGCATTTAATTTTTTGGGGGTAAATACAGTGGGGAAAAAAGGATTTAGTCAGCCACCAATTGTGCAAGTTCTCCCACTTAAAAAGATGAGAGAGGCCTGTAATTTTCATCATAGGTACACGTCAACTATGACAGACAAATTGAGGAAAAAAAATCTAGAAAATCACATTGTAGGATTTTTATTGAATTTATTTGCAAATTATGGTGGAAAATAAGTATTTGGTCACCTACAAACAAGCAAGATTTCTGGCTCTCACAGACCTGTAACTTCTTCTTTAAGAGGCTCCTCTGTCCTCCACTCGTTACCTGTATTAATAGCACCTGTTTGAACTTGTTATCAGTATAAAAGACACCTGTCCACAACCTCAAACAGTCACACTCCAAACTCCACTATGGCCAAGACCAAAGAGCTGTCAAAGGACACCAGAAACAAAATTGTAGACCTGCACCAGGCTGGGAAGACTGAATCTGCAATAGGTAAGCAGCTTGGTTTGAAGAAATCAACTGTGGGAGCAATTATTAGGAAATGGAAGACATACAAGACCACTGATAATCTCCCTCAATCTGGGGCTCCACGCAAGATCTCACCCCGTGGGGTCAAAATGATCACAAGAACGGTGAGCAAAAATCCCAGAACCACACGGGGGGACCTAGTGAATGACCTGCAGAGAGCTGGGACCAAAGTAACAAAGCCTACCATCAGTAACACACTACGCCGCCAGGGACTCAAATCCTGCAGTGGCAGACGTGTCCCCCTGCTTAAGCCAGTACATGTCCAGGCCCGTCTGAAGTTTGCTAGAGTGCATTTGGATGATCCAGAAGAGGATTGGGAGAATGTCATATGGTCAGATGAAACCAAAATATAACTCAACTTGTCTTGTTTGGAGGACAAAGAATGCTGAGTTGCATCCAAAGAACACCATACCTACTGTGAAGCATGGGGGTGGAAACATCATGCTTTGGGGCTGTTTTTCTGCAAAGGGACCAGGACGACTGATCCGTGTAAAGGAAAGAATGAATGGGGCCATGTATCGTGAGATTTTGAGTGAAAACCTCCTTCCATCAGCAAGGGCATTGAAGATGAAACGTGGCTGGGTCGTTCAGCATGACAATGATCCCAAACACACCGCCCGGGCAACGAAGGAGTGGCTTCGTAAGAAGCATTTCAAGGTCCTGGAGTGGCCTAGCCAGTCTCCAGGTCTCAACCCCATAGAAAATCTTTGGAGGGAGTTGAAAGTCTGTGTTGCCCAGCGACAGCCCCAAAACATCATTGCTCTAGAGGAGATCTGCATGGAGGAATGGGCCAAAATACTAGCAACAGTGTGTGAAAACCTTGTGAAGACTTACAGAAAACGTTTGACCTGTGTCATTGCCAACAAAGGGTATATAACAAAGTATTGAGAAACTTTTGTTATTGACCAAATACTTATTTTCCACCATAATTTGCAAATAAATTCATAAAAAATCCTACAATGTGATTTTCTGGATTTTTTTTCCTCATTTTGTCTGTCATAGTTGACGTGTACCTATGATGAAAATTACAGGCCTCTCATCTTTTTAAGTGGGAGAACTTGCACAATTGGTGGCTGACTAAATACTTTTTTTCCCCACTGTACATCAAATCAAGCTTTATTCAGACATGGAATGCAACACAATGTCCTTTTACAGGAAAAAAACAAACAATGAAAAAATAAAAATGAAATAT